TTTTTAAGATTTGTGAAACATATTTTTTTTTACATAAAAAAACCCCATCTTTAAACACTATATAAATCTGCCCCCATGGAACATTTCTTTTTCTTTCAACATTATATATGGTATGAATATGTATGTTTTCTTTATAGTTCTGTTGTTATGTTGAAAACACTATTATCATATAACATAACTTTGTATGTTCCTATATTGGGATAGATGTATGATATTGTAAGTGGAAGTGGTGGATGGTTCCCCGACCCCACTTTCCACATGGACGGGGAAAATAAATGAGCAACTATGTTGCTGAAATTTAAAAAAAAAAAAAAAAAAAAAATGAAATGTATTTAACAGTATAATATTGTGAAGTTACAACAAGAATGCAATTTACACATTATCAATGGCACTTACATGAACATTTTAATTACCATATAAAGGTCAAAATATGCAAAAACAGCCCTTACTGCGTTAGTTACGCAGTAGAAATAATTATTTATATTAAAAAATTGGTCATTAATTGTTAATAACATCTCAATTATGACTTGAATTTTCAATCTTTATACTTTTCCTAAAATCTTATAACATTTTTCTCAGGCTTGATTTTATCGAAATATTTTGGTTCATCTGGAAGCGTGCAGCTTTAAGATCATATTAGATGCTTTCACATGAAGAAACTAGCGCTTTATGTGTAATAATTTGTTATTAAAGGCAGCAGAATGTAAACAATGTAATCTTTTGGCTTCCATACAGAATATTTAATCACAAAAACTTTACTAATTGCCAAGAGTCAAATGAATAAAACAGATGGCTTAAGTAAATAGCCAATGTGTAACTTGTGGAAATTGTTAAAGTACATGAAAAAACCCAACAAAAATGCAACAAAAAAACAACAAAAAAAACAACAAAAAACAAAAAAAAAACATTATGAAAACTAAAAATATAAGCATTCCTTGGAAATAATGGATCTTTTAAACAACACACCTTGATATCGTTCGCAATCTTTAAGATAAACAAATTACTTCTTGGTTTTTTTTCTTATTGTATTCCGAAATAAACCATGTTTAATTGCTAATCTTAGAGGAGGGTTTTATTACAAACCGTTATAGGTGATACATTGTACATGTATCAATATACACCAGGCGCCTTTCAGAACGATAAACGTTCCTTCGATTGGAAACCAATTTTTTCACTCAACCGTCAAATGGTGTAAAAGCAAACAGGACAATAAAAATGTTGCAGTTGATATGAGAATATATCATTGAAACAAATATATCGTATTATTTAACTATGCAATTACATTGTTCAATGATAATTACAAACAACAAAAGTAACAACAGCAATAAATAAACACTACAATTTACAGATAGAAAATCAACAACAAGTAATGAACAACTTTAAAATTGATTGATCAACCTTTTTAAAAAAATCATAAAGATAAAATGTACATGTGATTATTATATTAATCAAAAGACATGTAAGGCTTTATCATATGAAATGCTCTAAATAAGAAAATAAAAAGAACGTAAAGATAAATTGTTTTCTAACATTATGGTTGTTTCTAAAGAAATGAGTAACATAGACTGTCTAAGTTATTTAATATGGATAACGTACGTGAATAGAATAATTTGTCGCAAAAAATGCGCTGCTATTTTTAAAAGCTTTGGCGTTATTTTTGCATAATGCCCCACTCGATTTTAATAAAATATGCTGACACTTTTCTCTCATTTTAAGTATGCTGTTTACATTTATCTCGATTTATCATTCAGAGACGGCAAATATATAGCTATTTACACTTTAATATTAAGTGTGTAAAAAGGTGGAAAAGGCAATATTAACTTTTCAAAACATAACAGTTAAAGTTCCTGTAACAATTTTTGTTCTTGTTTTTAATAATAAAAATGATGCTCAAATTAGGATTTATCAATATTGTAGTTTCCAAAAAGCATTATTATAAAGATATAACCGAATTTAACATTTTATGTAAATAAAGGGAAGTAATAAAAAATTAATTTCTATAAAGTTTAAGTCAAATTTTATAATAAGAAATGAATGCATATATTTTAATGATTACATATAATATGCACACATATTTGTAGAACATATTTTACATATTGTTCGATGTTTGAAAATTGTCATATTTACATAATTATGTACATATATATAATTTCACTAAGTGTGCTTTACCACTTTGATCACAACGTCAAGGATCTTTAAAAAAACACGATTTGTTTCTTTTCTAAGTTTTACGTGGAATTTCAAAATGAATTACAATTACAAAAATAAACATATTTTTTTTTAAATCTTTAGTGACTACTGTGACTAATACATACTGAAGTATGGTCTAAATTTTGAAATGTAATACTTGTAAAACGCCAGGCTTTAAGAAAATTGATTGATTTTTATATCAGTATTGAACATCAAAATAATAAATGTTTCGTCGACATCTGGCCAACAAACTGAAATTTTATCTGTTTTTCTTTTTTAAAATGTAACAAACAACAACAAGAAAAGGTTGAAGATCAAGAAACATAACAAAAAAATGAATGTTTTTGTTTTGTTTTGTTTTTTTATTATTATTTTTTTTATTTATTTCCTTTTTTATAAATCTTTAAACTAACATGTTCCAGCCGGTGCCACTGAATTTGTCGCCTCTCCTAAATCAGGCAAGCCAGTAACTATAGGATTCATGTCACTGCTAGACCCCTCATCCTCAATTTGGTTATTCTTCAAATGTCTAACGACATACCATGCTGACGCTGCAATAAGCCCGAGGGCAGCAAAAGCACCAACAGCTGCTCCAACAATGGTACCAATACTTGGCCCGGAGTCCGCCTCTGATTTACTTGCTTGACTTACGGTGTTGTTAAAAAGTTCCGTTGAATTCGCAATGCATGCTGTGTATTCTGCAATGAAATACACGTAGCGGTTAACTCATGAATCGTTGTGTGCTTTAGAGTCAATTTACAAGCAAAGCATTCACAATTTTCTAGTAACTACATTTACCAATATAACGAATTCTAATTGAAATATTACTGTCTTTTATTTTAGAATTTCATCAAGTATTCATATTTGCTAAAGTTAACATAATATAGCAGGGAAACCAGTCTTCTGTTCAAATTACAGTAGATACAAGAGTAACAAATAAATCGCCGATATAATCGATATAATCGTTAGATAGATAAACTTACTTGTATCAGTGTCAGTCACGATTGTCAAATTTGAGTAGATATAGAACGGCGGTATTGTAGAATTTCTACTTGCTATTATGCCAGGTGTTAATTTTTCCAGCTCATTTTCTAAACTCGAAACTGTGTTAGCCTTGGCATTGATTGACCTGTTAAAATAAATGAAGAAAGCTTTGTCAATAAAAGGATCGAATGTATTTGGCAATTGCGATCATTTGCGACATGATAATGTCAGATATGATTTTTCTATATTTATTTTCGAATATATTTAGTATTAAAAACGGGATATATGTTAATTACTGTGTTACATGATATAATTTAACAGACAACGTATTATCTATATTGTCTGTCACTTTTGAATAGATCTTGTTTCTATTACTTATAATCAACAAAAAAAAAACAGTTTAAATGGCACCTTATTGTTAATCAAGCCAACAACAAAATAATTAAACTGTTCCAATATCAATTGAATAAAAGAAATATTGAAGTCAATTATGGTACGACATACATATTGTAAGTGTAAACGTTACCAACTTGAGTTTGATATAATCAATTTGGCTTAAAGTTTAAAATGTATACCTACCCAGTTTTACTGTCATACATAAGCATTTCAACAGCCTTCACGGTTTTATTACCTCCAGTTGTATTTGAAATTTTACAACCACAGTATCTCCCTGACATGGATAAACCAAGTTCTGTATGTGTTTGCAAAATCTCGAACACGATTTCTTGTTGTGTCTGCCAACGCGTGTCATTGTTAGTACAGTTTTTGGAATCGACAACAACTTCAACAAAAAGATACTGTGTTTTATTTGACACCACCGTACTTTCCAGCAATACGACGCAGACGGTCATGTAGTCTGTAATAAAAACAATGCAAAACACATACTGATAAGTTAATATTATTCATGCCAAACAAAAACAAGAGCCGGTTGAACCGGGTGATGCTCCCCGAATAGGTTTTGGACACAGGCAGGTATACCTCTTGTAGTGTCAGAGTTATGTCACAGACAAAGTTCAAAGTGTAAAAACAACCCAAATGTTGCGCGCGACACATTGTCTCAATATGGTGACCATTTCTGTAAAATAGTTGTAAAATCCGACTTCAAATAACAAAGTAATGACCCGGACACAATTTTCCTGCAAGGTCATGCTGTGACCTTGACCTTCAAGGTAACGACCCAAATATTGCACGCGAAACATCATCTCAATATAATGATCATTTCTGTGAAATAATTTTAAAATACGACTTCAAATAATGAAGTTATGGACCGGACACCATTTTGCTGCAAGATCATGCCGTGACCTTGACCTTCAAGGTAGCGACACAAATGTTACGCCCGACAATTCGTCTCAATATGGTGATCATTTCTGTGAAATAGTTGTAAAATCCGACTTCAAATAACGAAATTATGGACCGGACACGATTTTGCTGCAAGGTCATACTGTGACCTTGACCTTCAAGGTAGCGACCCAAATGTTGTGCATGACACGTCGTCTCAATATGGTGATCATTTCTGTATAATAGTTTTAAAATCCGACTTCAAATAATGAAGTTATGGATCGGAAACGATTTTCCTGCAAGGTCAGGCTGTGACCTTGTCCTTCAAGGTAGCGACCCAAATGTTGCACGCGACACGTCGTCTCAATATGGTGATCATTTCTGTGAAATAGTTTTAAAATCCAACTACAAATAACAAAGTTATGAACCGGACACGATTTTACTGCAAGGTCATGCTGTGACCTTGACCTTAAAGGTAGCGACCCAAATGTTGCGAGCGACACGTCGTCTCAATATGGTGATCATATCTGTGAAATAGTTTTAAAATCCGACTTCAAATATTGAAGTTATGGACCGGACACGATTTTGCTGCAAGGTCATGCTGTGACCTTGACCTTCAAGGTAGCGACCCAAATGTTGTGCATGACACGTCGTCTCAATATGGTGATCATTTCTGTATAATAGTTTTAAAATCCGACTTCAAATAATGAAGTTATGGATCGGAAACGATTTTCCTGCAAGGTCAGGCTGTGACCTTGTCCTTCAAGGTAGCGACCCAAATGTTGCACGCGACACGTCGTCTCAATATGGTGATCATTTCTGTGAAATAGTTTTAAAATCCAACTACAAATAACAAAGTTATGAACCGGACACGATTTTACTGCAAGGTCATGCTGTGACCTTGACCTTAAAGGTAGCGACCCAAATGTTGCGAGCGACACGTCGTCTCAATATGGTGATCATATCTGTGAAATAGTTTTAAAATCCGACTTCAAATATTGAAGTTATGGACCGGACACGATTTTGCTGCAAGGTCATGCTGTGACCTTGACCTTCAAGGTAGCGACCCAAATGTTGCGCGCGACACGTCGTCTCAATATGGTGATTTTTTCAGTGAAATAATTTAAAATCCGACTCCAAATAACAAAGTTATGGGCCGGACACGAATTCGGGACGTACGTACAGACGGACGGACTGACGGACAACCCGACGACTAGATGCTCCCCCGAATTTTTTCGGGGAGCATAAAAACATAATTATATAATTATATAAAACAATTGTTTTGTAGTTTCATGCACCGAGCCTACACAATCCGCTGATAAACTTTTAAAAGTTGATACTAGGTCCTACAGAATATTCTTAGTTCGATTGAGTAGGGTAGGAAGCTATTAACTTTTAAGCAAACTCTCGAAGTTATTATTTTAACAAACCAATACTGTGCAATGAGTGTAAAGCTTCTTGCAAGTGGAAACGACGGGGTTTGAATTACTTTAGATTACTAGGTTGGCGCGTTTACCACTCGTCCATAGCGTTGACGTCGTTATATCAGCAACAGAAGATACAACACTCACGTAATATAGTGTTTTTAATGTCTTTATGTCAACAAAAAATATATTTTTCAACCTTTATGACTCTGAAAATAATTGATAAGATTCAAAGTTTATCATGATATTTATTTTAGTTTTTGTAATATTCAAATTTATGTGATGCATATACACTTTAATTTATTCTTAAATACACTGGTCTTTTAATCGTCTTTCAAAATAAAGGAAATATAATACATGTCAGGATTAAAAGTAAAAGAAAACTGTCAAAGACCAAAGACTGTCAATGGTTTTAATCAATGCTTAATACATACATACATACAAAAACAAAAAGCTAAAGATTCAGATAACTTTTGTAAATGTACAAACATGAGGCAACGCAAGGGCAATTTCTTTGTTCAGTAGTCCCATTGCTGGGAAGTCATATCCCCCATCAGTGTAATATTTTATTTCTTGGTAAAACAAAATAAAAATTAATGAATAAAATAAACAAATAAAACAGAATGGAAGGACCATTACTTTGCGAAAAATCAGAACTCTAAAGCCAGTTTTAATGACGAGAGTTTTCGGGTTTTAAATGTGTGCAAATCATTACAATTTATTGCCTCATTTAGGAGTTATTATCTGGAAACAATAAAGTGGACAGACAGACAGACAGACAGACAGACCAAAAGACAAAAAGGCCGCCCGACGAGCTCACACCTAAAATGCCCACTTAACCCCATTTGTGGGGGTATGATAAATATCTTATTTTATATATCTTTCATTTATATTATCATACATTTTGTAATGTTTTGCACAGTGAAATCTATTTCTTAATATTGAAATACGTTTATGTATAGTAATTGAATAATATTAACTTCAAACATGTTACAAATAAACCCATTTCTAATTATAGATAAAATCAATCTAAAATGAAATAATCAAAGTGCATCTTTTTAACTGTGACATATAAATACAAAAACGGCTCTATATCAAAACAAATACAAGCATATCGATATCTTTAAGGTTTTTTTTTTCGATCAAGAGGTTTTGAACTACATTAAGTGAACAAGTTACTACGAAAGACTCGAAGGGACATTTAGACCTCATTAATCCATCAATTAACTTCACGAATTCACGAAGTGAACTTTATGAATTCTCTTTTTCTACATAATGAATGCATCAATTCACAATGACAACCGAATTACTTTAAAACTTTAATTCTTCGATTCACCATTTCAACGTCACGAGTAATATATATTTGAAGTTTAAGAATACTTGATTTTAATTTCATTGATTTAACTTTACGCTCAAAGGTTTTTATCTTCCTGATTTAAATGGCATTAATTGACTATTTCAACTTCATGAATACATAAATTTTTCTTCACCAATTCAACTTTGTGAATGTACGATTTCATCTTCATGAATTTGTGGAATTGAAACCGTGAATTTATGAAGCTGTTATAACGATAAGCGAAATCGTAAATTTGTTAAGTTTATTAGTGTTAAAATGTCAGAAAGAGGTCTTCGTAGGTTAGTGTCAATTTTGATAAAAGTCTTACAAATGCTCAAACTTTTTAAGTTATATGTACATAAATCTTGTAAAAATATTATTTATTTACAATCAACCTCAAAAATAAAAGTTTTTTTTTTTGGTTTTTTGTTTTTGTTGGGTTTTTACATCGCACCATCACAGTATATGTCATATGGCGACTTTCAAGCTTTACTGGTTGAGGAAGACCTCATGTGTTATCAAGTGCAATAATTCAGGCACGGATGGGTACCTAAGAAGGGCCACTGTCGTTCCCTATATCTTCCTCAAATGGAAGAATCCCAAATATCTGTCGGGATTAGAACAAATAGCGGTAATGGGCAAATGGCAACCCATGTGTAATTTGTTAATTTTGCAAAATAAATAATGAAGATAAATATTTAAAAAAGTAAATTAATGTAAAGGTGATCATTTCTTTGTGAAAAATAAATAAATGTCAGTATTTTATGATGTGAAATCACTTCATGCTTGCTATTTATTTCAAAGTCTAAAATTCGAACAACAAGACTTATCATTCGGAAACCATGAAATGGACTGACTGGCGGACCGGCCAACAGACTAAAACACCGTTTGACAAGCCCAAACCCCAAAATCTTCGCTTGTGTGGGTATAAATAATTTATGTGATATATTTACCTAAATAGTTTCAAACATTTTTTTATATTTCTACATATGTGATATCTTTATGATCTATTACTTGTCTATTGATATTATTATATATCTTCATGACTTCGAACATGCCTCATATAACCTAGAAATCAATATGAACCTGATTCTACTGAATAGAAATAAAATCCAAAAGAATTTAATCAATCTCAATCGTTTTAACTGTGACAGATAAATACAAATACGGCTTTATATCAAATCAATTACTCGGAGATATTGAAGGGTATTTTCAATCAAGAGGTTTTTAACTGCATTACGTGTACAGGTTAAACAAAACAACTGAAATCAGGAATCCACCAATTCAACTTCTGGAATTAGCGATATCAACTACATAAATTCTCTATTCCAGCATAATAATTTTATGAACTCACGATTTCAAATAAATTTCTTCAAAACTTTTAACTCTGCACGAATTTTATATTTAAAGTTTACGACTTATTTATTCAGCACCACGATTAAAGGTTTCGAACTTCCTGATTTTAATTGCATTAAATGACGATTTCAACTTCATTAAATCATGATTTATTCTTCGCAAATTCAACTTAATAAATTTTCAATTTCAATTCCATGAATTCGTAAAATCGTGAATAATATTTATTATTAATGAAGCTATAATCGCGAATTCGTGAAATCGTTAATTAGTGAATTTTCAAACTTAATATGCAGAATTAAGGAAGTTTTAACTGTGAATAAGTGTGAAAATATCAGTGCCAACGGACTTTATAATAGCAGTGTAGTTTACTCCTTTCCATAAGTCATTTATAAATGCTCAACCTTTTTAAAGTTAACTTAACATATAAATTAGAGTTAATTACATCTTGTAAAAATCTTATGTATTTCTTTTTTTATCTTTTTCTTATGTTATAAATCAAAGTTTAACTAGATTTATTTTGCATATGTAATAGGTTGTTGTTGAAAAATCAAGTAACTTTGTCAACCTTAAGAAATATCAAATTGTGATACTTTTTAAAAGAAAAATCAATATTGGAAATGAGAATATGTCCACTCTGTATCATTTGAGGCTTGAAAATTCTTAAAATGTTTAATATTAATATTATTTCTGTAATGAAAATATGTTTAACATGTTATTCTTGTACAAGAACAAAATGTAATGATTAAACAATTTTTATTTATAATTGCGGGGACATTTTTTATTGGGGGGGGGGGGCATTATTTTGGTACAAAAAATATACTGGTCTTAATGTCCACTTGACAAGTAGCCAAATGCATTTAAGAATAGTTAATAAATTTTTTAATAAAGTATTTAATTAATTATGAATATAAATATACAAGCATGTTTAAACAAGTTATCATTCTAGAAATTACACATATTGTACAAGTCATTATATGTTTGCCCCTATTTACACGTTGTGATGATGTTGTTTTTCTATCATTTGAAAAAAGATATGCAATGTATATGATTGCTGTTGTATAATCTTAATGTGTTACCTTGTCAAAATAATGACATCATTTCATTATTATCTAGGCTATACGACAAGTTTTTTTCTTAAAAAAAGAAGTTTTGAAATACATTTGTCTATAAGTATAATTTACTTAATGAACTATTAAGTATACAACTGTTGAAGAAGAATACAAGATGATGTTACGTGCCAAATATCCAAGCTTTGGTATCCTACTTTCTCAAAAGAAGATTTCAAAAGATTTTACGTTCTTAGTACATTCTCTTATAGTTAGGTTAAAATATACCATATGGCTGAGAAAGAAATGTCTTTTTTAAAGAAATGATGTTTATTCACAAAAGCTTACCTACAAAATATCCTGGAAAACACGAACTTAAATGTTTTAAGTTAAGCATTTTCGAGAAATATCTGATGTTAAAAAAAGTATGATAATATGTGGAAATACAAAGAAAACACACATAATATCTAGAAAAATATGTATATATGAAAACATAAAAACAAGAAATACATGTTGTATAAACTGTTTACATTTTGGTCGGTTTCACTAAGATTGAAGGATCAAGACATTGATCAAATTAAAAAAATATATAATTTATTATATATATTCTCCATTGTTTATCCTCGTAGATTAGATATTAATTTGAAATATCAACTTGATAATATTGGACATAGGATGCTTATGAAATTTATAATAAAATGATATTATTTTACAAAACATGGATATTTAACAGTCAATCCAAATAATGATCTTGATCCTAAAAATGATCCTTATTTTGATCCGATTATTTTTTTATTTGTTTTTTTTTATTTATCAATTTTATCCCTTGCTGTTTATTTGCAATTCAAATTTCTTTTTAACATTTTGTTCATGTACTATTTAATTTTAACAAAATACGATCAATTTTAGTTTTTTTAAGTAATAAAAATAATTTGATAATCATTTGATTCTGAACATGATCTTAATGAAAACGTTCCGTATAGCTTCCTCACATGAAAGAATAAAAAATACCTGTGGGATTAAGACCCAAAACGTTGAGGGGCAAATGGTTTAAAGTCAACAACCTTGTCATATGTAATGTTATCTACATATAGATACATACTATGAAATTATTTCTTCTAATTCAGAAAAACGTATAAATAATTATATATTTCAATATCTAGATATAAATTAGATGTATAATAAAATCTACATGTATATTTATAAAATATTAGTAATTAGAAATACGTATTATGAGGTTATTGTACATTATTAAATACAATACTGAATTCTGTTGGACAAGAAAACAACTGTCAAACCCGTATTGGACGAGACACTTTCTTTTTTGTTTCGGTTTGAGTCCAGTAGAAGCAATATTGTTCTTAATAATGGATAATAACCTGTTTATTTGATACTACCACTATATGACATTTTGACAGATTTTTTTTTTACTTTTAGTTCAATAGGGATTTGATATGAATTTTTTGGACTCTGAAAATGAAAACGAGGCTAGATGGAGTACGGTGTGCATTTTGATATATATTCTTTGGACTGTGATAGTGAAAACGACGCTACATTTGTAACTATATATATTTGATCTGAAAATGGAAAATAGGCTAAATTATATATCATGCAAAAGTAATGAATATTTAAAATTATATTTAAAATTTAAATTAATAAAGTGAAACTTACATATTGTTATAGTGATACTTCGAATATTGAAATCCATAACTATTGATATCAACAGACTTTATAATCATTTTCACCTCATAGACATATGCTCTATATTTTTAGCCAAATTCTTACATTAAATATCAAGTGGTTGACTGATCGATTTCTTATCATTCTTCATTGGTCTTCTTGTGAGTGACAGGCTAAAAATGAACATTTATTGACACAGTGATAAAGGCGTTATCGATGAAAACCCCCATGGCACTGATTACAAGCAAAAGGAAGTGATTAAACGTTCTTTATTTTATATATCTTTGTGTAAATCGATAAAAGAAAAGGAAACACGAATGGATTAAAATATTTTTTCCCCGTCATATTACGTATTTTAAATTTTAGTGTCATTTATTTATCTAAAGATAAGTGTTTGTGTATGTGTACTGCTTAACGTCCAATGTAAGCCGTTTACAAAAGATGTACGTGTACTTTAACAACTGCGCATTTAAATAGTTGTTTACGTGTATGGTTTGTGTCCGTATGTAATATAGTTTCGCTTTCATACGAAATGTCATTAAGTAGTCAAAGAATTTAAAAATAAAATATCAAAGTTCTGTATTCATGTAGATATATGTACATCCTTAGCCTGGGATTCAGGCGTTGATAGTTTTTGCTTATTTATAACATTTTTTTTTTTCATAACATATGCGCTAAAATATTCCGTATTCGTTCGTCGTTATGATAGTATCCAAACAGAAACATAACATAAAATCGACAGACTGGAACCCAAGCTAGTACATCCTTTAAGAAAACTATTATTTTCAAACAATATTACATAAAAGTAATTGTAAATGGCGAGGAAAGAGAGAGAAAAAATACAATTACCTAATTTTTATACAACCTTTCAAAAAGTAGCCTTATCTAATATATTGGCAGAAGTTTGTGCATTTCAAATTTTGGCATAATTATCTTTCAAAAAGATAACATCTTTGTTACGAACACATAAAAATGCGGTTAAATGTACAAACAAACATTGAAAAAACATTATTTTTCACTCTAAACATGTGCATGCAACTGATAAGATAATATGTGCTTAAGCAAATCAAATAATTGTGTTATAAAGCGGTCCAATACGGCATAAAGAGAACAAAATATTTTATTACTTCGTGCGCACGTGATAACCAAAACATGGCCATGTTATAGATATAACATGCACACGAGATAGCTAATATGTGTGCACATGAAAGCCATTACGTATCAACGCGAAATGTTTTATGTGCACACGCTTACATTAAATCTATCGCATGGCCACGTTATGCTACTGCGTGCGCTTGTAATTTATATAGCGTGTGCACGTAATGGCTTTCGCGTTGCCATGCATTGTTATCTCGAACTTGTCTTTGTGTGTGCAGGTAGTGAATAGCATATTTCCTATGTCCCCTTTATCGTGTTAAATAATTAAACGGGAAAGTTAGAAACCTGACGGGTACCTTGTATGAACTTTGTAAGTATGTCTGACTAACCCGCATGTAATAGAGGACGAGTAGTTGAAGTTTAAAGTAAAGTAAAAACCTTTGAGTTTAGAGATATATAAATATCTATCATAAAAATATCAAAATATTGAGTAATTATGTAGAAAGGAAAACATTTAATCATAAAGTACTTTAAGGGTTATCAGTCCCTTGGAAATGTATACAAAGTAAGACAAACATTATTCATTATCTCATAACGTAATTAATCTACTATGGAACCTATACCTCTGGGTTTGCTCCTCTCCTTTGTGGGTTCGAAATCATTCAAGTACTCTGGATTCTCTCACGTGAGGAGACAATAAGATAACTTGTGGATGGTCGATTGTTCCGCTCAGATGCAACATTCTGTCTGACATAATGCATTGATACAGCTTGAAAGTCACTTTATGAACTTAAATCCCAACTAAACAGATACAATTTTCATTACAAGCAAGAATTGTTCAGGTTTCGAGATTTGCATACAAATTTACGAAGGCATTTAATTACAAATCATGTTCAAAATGTTTAATTTTTTGCAAATTCCGTTCTTAAAAATAATCAAATCTATTTTATTGTGAAAAATGACGTAAACATGAAAAGCGTGTAAACGTTTTTACTTATACATGTCCAAGATCAGCGCTAATATCTTTTTTTCATATTTTCCATTTAATGCCTACTGAGCCCCCCAAAATGGTAATATTTCTATGTTTTCAAAATTTCTTATGTGGTGTGTGTGTGTGTGTGTGTGTTGGGGCGGGGGGGGGCGGGGGTTTCGCGCGCGTGCGCGCGAAAGTGTATATGTGTGTCCTGTTACAGTTTTTCACAAAGATACTCATTGACCTTCTGCATTTTAGCAGTTAGTACAAAGGATAACGATAAAGTAATTTGTATTTAAGTCAAGGTACTTCATATTATTGTGTTTACATTTTGCTATCTTCATCACGTATGTTTTATCCGTACTATTTTCTTCTAATTGTCATCTTGTAAAACAAACAGAAAAAAACATATTCCGCTAGTTGATCATGTATATTAGTATTTCATATTTTCTCTTCTTAGACTTTTGGACCTCCTTTTAGATGTAGGTAATATTTGTGACGTTATGGGAGTGCCACTTCCCATCACCTATGTGGAAAAGTCTTCCGGGACCCCCTGCCTCCCCCAGTTTGGCTTCTGAGTTGTGTCGGGGCTGCGTTCTGTGAACATTGCCTTGCCTTGTTGATCTTTATTGTCAATATATCAAGTATCGGAAATAGTATGTTCATGTCTTTGTCCAGTTATGTGTACGTGATATTATAATTCTTTATCTAATGATCGATTTTAAAATGAACAAAATAACTGTAGGCCTGATTAAATCAGGCAATATTCAACTATCAATGTCACTCTTATACAAGTTAACATGACAAGAAAGGACATCTTCTGGATGTAGAAGCTCCCAATTTGAATAATGGGTCTGTCCTTTTTTGTTACTTGATGTTTTGTTTGTTTATTGCTGTTGATGTATTTGTGCGTTTTATCTAATTTTGAAAAAAAAAACATGTCGCGCAAGGATTTATGTAAACACAATGTTAATGATTGCTTTAAATAGTTACAGACAAAAAGTACGTTGATTAGGCTTGACAGGCAAAATGAGCATCAGTAAATCTAAATATAACTAATATAACTATGCTTTAAGGAATTCGTTCTCAGACAAATTAATCTTGTGAGTTCCCTAGCGAAGCCTTTATTTAATTGAAATTCTAATAGGATTGGTCATTATAAGTTTATTACCTTGCACGTTTTGAAAATTTCTCTTTGATAGCAAACAGTCTTTATGCCAAATACCTAATTAGATATGCATGCAAAAAAAGACCATTGTCTTCTGTATACAGGCATAAGAGAGGTACATGTAAGTACACTTATATATGTTACTAAATGTCATATAAACATAATTGTAAAGCCTCAAATTTTCCTTAACTTCCACACAAAAGCTTAATATAAAATGTTTATGTTTGTGTCAATAATATTCGAATTTATCTATTTTTATCGAAAATAATTCGATTTGAAACCGACAATATAAGTTTACGTGTGACATTGTTGTCATATAAAAGAAGCATAAAACACAATAAATTGACTGTTATATATAATTATTTTAGTATCAATGTTTTGCCTAAAGAAAGAGTTAGCAGTTATGAGTCCACCGTTAATTCGTAATAATGAGTAAATATTTCACTTATTATGCAACATCATTAAATAATAGTCCAGGACCTTGACTAGAAATTTACGCAGTTCAGATTTTTCATAAATTTGTTTCTTATTCGAGCACATGTTAAGGTTAAATTCAAGGAGCCACTGAAACATCACCACCGAATACCATTTATGCATAGAACCTAAGAAGCATACACTATGTAGCATTTAAGGTAGTACACCCCTAATGCACTGTCTCCACTTTGAAGACTATTCAAATAGGCTAGAATCACTGTCAATTGTATAGAAACTGAGGGGCGTGGGTTCAAACCCCAGAAGGGGCAACATTTTTTTTCTTTCTTTTTTTTCTTTTTAACATTTTTTATAAATCTCTCAGATCCTTTATGGAAGAAAAAAGTGTTTCATTTTAATTATATAATTATTATAGGTATTCATTTACTAAATAATGCCAAATTTAAAAGCAAATATGTTACCAGATATTTTCAAAGTTTAATAAAATAAAAACTACACGGTAAAAATATTTTATATTTTGAAAGACAAACTAATATACATTTAAAAAAATTTAGGCAAACTTTGAAAACAGCCCCTCATTGTGGAAAATTTTAGGGATATTCTAAATAAGGCTTTTTACATAGGGAAATGGTCAAATAAGTGTGGGGTAAGGTTACATTTTTTTACATATTAAAAACATTTTGTTTAAAAACAATCATTTTGCTTGTTTAATTTGTTACCTAAATGTCATTATTTGTTTCTTAACAATGAGCGATAGGAAAACATTTTTCATAATGATGATATTATAGATTATTTAGAGTATCCTCATTTTTGAAAAACGCCCTTCTAATGGCAAAGTCTTAGTTCAGAAAAATGTCCATAACTCATAAACCACACGGTAAATTTTGTTTAAATTTTGCATACAGGTGACATTTAAGGCATATAACTGTCCTATGTTGTCAATTTTACAGTTCCTTATAGTGCCCATTAGGGGTGTTCTACCTTAAGTGCACAACTTGTAAGAAACCATCTAAAACGCAGTTTGACATTTTCCTTAGGTCTTATAATGACTTTTACGCAATATAATGCTTGACTGTGAGAACTAGTGTGTAGCTCTGTTTTTATTCATTTGTATCTTATCCTGAAAACATTGTAAAAATGTGTTGTTCTTTTGTACCGTCCATGTATCCTATATCGTTCTATTCAGAGTACATATTTATAACTTATGGACAATGATAATAACAACTGTTACAATATATTCAACTTTATTACTGTTTCTCTACACATCATTTTTTAAGATATCAATGAAATCGTAACTGAGGCTATAAACAGCTTTACATAATTAATCAAAATACAATTACATCAATGAACGAGAGACTAACAAACAAAGGTTGAACGAACTACGCAAAAGTAGAATGAAGTAGACACTTCATAATTAGATATAAGCGTGCGTAGCTATTTCATTTGGTTAACATTCATGTGAATTACAACTTGTTCGAGTATTTTCTATGAAATAAAATAATAGTATCTAATGTGAAAATAATGTTTAAAGTAAATTAGTTTATAATG